CTAATTGCAGATCGATTATACACTTCAATTTTATACAAATTCTCCCCAACTTCAACCCCAATCTCAAACCCCGAACCCTCCTATATATTTCCAAAGACCTTCGAGCTACAGTTAATCTAGCCCCTCATTCACTAATAGACCCGGATATACAAATAATAAACTACCAAAATGGAAGCGAAATCTTCCAAATTATCAATATATATAACAAAGCAGATCAAATACAGGAAAAAGGATATACAATTGATCAATCCCTTTACAATCTATCAATTAATCAATAAACAATAATATTAAACAACTTCAATTTTTATTATCTATTATGGAATCCCTTTTCAAACAAAAGTGCTAATATTGATCAACTAGTAGAATAGATTGAAGATCAAAATCTAAGTCTATTGAATGAGCCTAGTACTACTACTTTCTTTCGAACTAATCTGATAAATCCAAGTATACTCAACCTCACATTAGTTTTTCAAAGCATCTCTTCAAGAATACAAGATTAGCAAACACTTTCTAATATTAGATCTGATTATTCAGGGATTCTATTTGAATTAAAAGGAAAAGAGAATCCAAATACCCCTCATCAAGAGCCAATAATCAGATATTATACAAAGCTAGCCAATTGGAAGCTATTCGAATCTATTCTACAATTCAAAGCCAAACACTTGCCCACTCTAGCCAAACTAAATATATTTACAATAACTATACAAGATTCGATTGATTTCCTTCAAGAAAACAATATATATCGTTCCAAATTGGATTATACTACTAGCGAACTTATAAGGATTATCTAAAAAGCAATGGAAAGCTGTATTCCAAAGGTTATAATAAATAAAAGAGCTAAGCTATGGTGGTTTTCTGAATTAAAAGCCCTTCGAAAAGAACTAGGAAAAGCAAAATAACAAATTGAATCCAATCTCGAAAATATTAGTTCAAAAGAAGCTTATTGAATTATTAGAAACAGATATTTTCAAGCTATTAAAATAGCAAAAAAGAATCATTGAAACGATTTCCTAGAAAAAGAGAATACTCAAACTATTTTCAAAGCAATGGTCTATACAAAGGATTATCAAAATCAAAGGATCCCTGATATTGCTTCAAAAACCTTTTTTGAAGAAAAATGCTCTGCTTTTCGAACTACTCTGTTCTCTCAACCTTCTATTACAGTCGAACCTGAATGGGAAGGATATTAACAATCCAATAAATAGGAATGATCTGATTTCTCTAAAAACGAACTAAAGAACACTTGTTCAGCTAAAATTCAAAGGAAAACTCCTGGTCCAGATGGTATTATTCAAGAAATCATTACAAGAGCATATAAAGCTATTCCACAAACCTTCTTTATTTTATATAGCAAGCTTCTCAATATTGAATACCACCCACAATGCTGGAAACAAGCCACTAAAGCAATCCTTAAAAAAGCTTCGAAACCAGATTATTCGATACCAAAAGTGTATAGGGTTATTACACTTCTTAATTGCTTAGGAAAAATAAGCGAAAGGATTCTAGCTCAACAATTAGGATATCTAGCGGAAACTACCCATCTCTTACATTATAACCAAATGGGAGGACAACAAAAGAAATCGATAATCGATACAGTTTTCCTTTTGAATACAGAGATTGAAAACAACAAGCAAGCTAATAATAAGACTTCGGTTTTATTTATAAATATAAAAGGAGTATTCGATCATATTTCAAAAAATCGATTATTGGATATCTATAAGAAGTTGAGACTACCAATCAATCTTATCTTCTAGATAGCTTTATTTCTTTAATAAAGATAACTAAAACTATCTTTTAATAATCAAATCGAATCTTTCAAACCAATTTCAACCGGAATACCATAAGGCAGCCCTATCTCGCCAATCCTCTTCTTGATTTATATTAGAGATCTTTTCCAAAACAATTCAATCAAATTCCTTTTATATATTGACGATATCGCTCTTATCACTAATTCATCTACTTGAAGAAAGAATGTTAATTCGTTAGAAAGAGCTACAAACAATTATACAAACTCAGCTCAAAGAATGCAATCCAATTCGATTTAGCTAAAACAAAGCTAATGCATTTTTCCTTTTCCAAATTAACAGCTCAATATTCTATTACTTTACCCAATTCGGAAACAGTAATACCCCAATCTCTAATTAGATGGCTTGGTATCTGGTTCGATCCGAATCTCAAATTCGATCAATACGTTAATATCAGAGTAGTACAAGTGAAAAAAGCCTTTCAACGAATGGCTTGCTTAACTAATACAGAAAAAGGCCTTAGTCCTAAGGCTATGAGACAACTATATATAGCTTATATAACTAGTATTACTGACTATAGATTGAAAGTTTAATGGAAAGGTTAGATCAAATTCAAGGATATACTTTAATCACTTCAAAATCTAGCTCTTCGAAAGATACTTGGAGTTTTCAAAACCACCCCAATCCTTCTAATGGAAATCGAAGCAGGACTAAAGTCAGCAAAGATCTGTTTAGACTCAAATATAAAACGATATGCCTTTCGATTAGTAAAACTATCACCAAATTATTCAATCAATATCGAAAAAGAAGTGCTATCTCAATACAAATCGGACCTAAAAGCAATAGCTACCCCTCGAAGGAAACGATACAAGCCACTTCAATTAGATAAAATAAGAGAATCCATAAAACAAGATTTCGATCTATCTATTTTCGAAAAGATTACTCATTTCAACTTCCCTCCCTGGAAAAGAGATATACCTTACAAAGTCAATATTAATAAAGCCTTAAAAGAAGATACAGCTATTCTTTATAATATTATATTTAAACACAGAGATCAAAATACAGTTTATATATATACTGATGTATCTTCTATCAAAAAAGGAATTGGAATAGGAATAGGGATAGTTGCAATACAATCAAATGGATCAATCTCTTATCGAAAACGTTCGAATATTGGTATCAATCAATTAGTATATAATAGAGAATTATTGGGAGTTACAAAAGCTATCGAATATACTAGTACTGTAGCATATGAAGGACAGAAATTCAAGATCTATTTGAATAACCAAGCTAAACTTTATCGTCTAAAAACCCCCTCTGATCATTTCGGGCAAGCTTATTAAATACAAATAATCAAGGCAGTAGAGGATATTAGAGCAAAAGGAGCTAAAGTCTTTTTAAATTGGGTTTCAGGTTATACTTCGATATAAGAAAATGAAATAGCTAATAAATTAGCGAAAGAAGCAACTTCAATATAAGCCACTTCAAGCGAAACTAGTATAAGGCTACTTGGTATAATAGTAAAGGAATACAATTCCGATCAATAGCTAGAGACTCTCAATCAATACGAATCCAGATCAAATCAATCAGATACAATCTATTCGAAACTCTTCCCATGGAAAATCAGCTCCAAAATCAAGCTACCAGAAGGTACTAAGCGAAATACTACTAGCACTTTCTTTCAACTCAAAATCGGCCACGATTATATTAAGTCTTATTTACATCGATTCAAACTTTCAAACAAGAAGTGTATCTACAACAATATCGAAACAACTGCACATCTCCTTATTGGTTGCCCAATATATAGAAAAGAAAGAAAGGAAATCTTCAAAGAAATACCAATCTCTAAAATCAACCTACAGTTTCTACTACATACAAAAATAGATATCGAACTAGCAATCAAATTCATCAATACTACCAAAATCGCTACTCGAACTTGGCACCTATCAAGAGCCGAGATACAAAACGAAATTGTGGAAGAAGAAGAGACAATAAGAGAAGGAGAGAGAGCCATTTTGGAAATGGAAAGAGAAGGAGGAGGAGGAGAGAAAAGATAGAGAAGAAAGGGTTTAACCCTCTCTACTCTATATCTTACTATACGCACTTCGTATAGTAAGCGGGAACGAGTCCCCAGTATTAGTTTTCACTTACCCTATTATTAAAATTCCTAATTTTGTACTTTAAAAGTTATCCGCTAGACCATTTGGCCTAGCCGTCCTATATAGTCATAGACTGAAGGTGGACGTTAATTAAATCAATCAATCAATCAATCTCAACTCAGCCTAGCTCTTCTAAATTGACTTCAATTCAACTCTTATTCTATATATTCGATTTATCCCTCAAGCTTAAACTGACTAGATCTTCCACTATCATTATAATAATACTATTCCTTATTATTATAAAAGCTAACCTCAAAGACTATATTACAGAATCTTCCTTCTTGAAGATATACAGAATTTTCTCCCATACTAGTCTCCTTAGGCTTAGTATGGCTTATCTCAGCAGTCACGTGTCGACTCCGAGTCGACCCCGTGACAGAATAACTACTATAATATAATCTACAAGTATTGAACAATAAAGAGTTTAATGAAAAGCTGTCTTATAGGGATTATATAAGACAATAGTAGTATATCTAAAATTCTGAATTTACCCAGTTTGCACTTCATTTATAACATGGTTTGGAAGGTATATTATCAAGATGGCATCTATCTGGAATCGCTGACAGATCTCGAGTATAGAAATCGACATCGCATTTGTAAGGCGATAAGGATGGAATTACAAATCCCGATATGTTTTCAAGTAGGATCTAATGAATTGTATACTGAATGTATTGTCTGATAATATTATTATAGTCCTCTTAAGATTCTGACTTGCTAATGATTTGATATATTACTTTTCGAGTGATTAATTCTATTTGGCTTTCGAAAACGATATCAATGATATACGGCCGAATTTATAAAAAGAGTAAAACAAGTCTCATTTTTATCCAAAACATTCTGATGTAGCAATTCAAAGACAGATTGAAGAACTGATAATACGAGCATTAAGATATCCAATGAATGTGCGACTTATTGTATAATACATCAATTACTTCTTATAAGGAAATTGCAGCTTACATCTCCTTTCGAAGACATAATGAAATATATCAATACAATGTGTTGGAGCCTCTCCTCGTTTCGTCTCTCCTTCTATCAACTTGGTTCTCAAAAGTAGCTTCCACTATGTAGCTTTCTCGTGGTTATAATGGCAACTTCCTTAACAAGTAAGATCGCCTGTATTACCATCATAAGAACAACGGCTGCCATCATAGGCATAAGCGAGCTAGATATTCATTAGTCATATGATTTAGCCGATCTAGCACTAGATTCAAACTTACATTCTCGTATCCTCCATCGCCATCGGTCCAGAAAGCATTATTTGCCATCATAAACATACAATCATAGCTATTGGTAGTTTAGTACGGAGGAATATCATATTTGATAAGCTAGGCTTACTCGGTATAGAACAATCCACTCGCCAACTTCTGCTTTTGGGGGGTAGAGATTCGATTACCGTCTCTTACTCGGTAGCCTTTGTTGTAACAGATAGCTGCAGCCCAGGTTCTATAGTCTGGGTTGTTTTTCCACATCTCGTTTGTAGCATCCTGTGTGAAGCGCTGACGCTTCTGTATCAAGTTCAGTAGTTATCATAATACTATTAATGAGTGCACTAACCGAATCCCAGGTGGCAGCAGCGTATGCCCACTTCACTGCGTGGGCAATAGCATTGACGGTGACCTTTATACCGTTGGCTATACCTTGTTGACGTGGCTCGAGCGTGGTCGCAGTCTCTTGAGCAGATCTCATCATGACTTCCATGCTTGTGATGTTTGCCACGGTAGGTTCCTTGAATATTCAGATTTAGTTTTGTTTGTTATAGCGTTTTGTTCAAACTTACATGAACCCCGTCCCAAACCATTGAAGCCACATTCAAGTCAGTCTCTGTGCTGAGGCCGCTGTTGGTGTTCTCGGGTAGGACAGCTGCTGTAGCTGTTGTCGCGGAGACAATAACAAGAAGTTTTGAGAAATGCATAATGTATATCGGTACTGAGGACAGTTGATATTTATAATAGATCAAGGGATGATAACTTTGACAATAGATGGACGAGCAAGTTTTTGCAAGATGGTCTAACGAGTTGATGTGTGAGAGAAATGTCGTTGATGTTTCTTAGACTTTGTAAAGGTCTTGAGCCTTTTTATAAAAAAAATTGAAATTTCTATCTCTGTTGCTTTAAATTCGCATTTTGAACAAGAGTTTGCATATGCATGAATGTTCAAAGTATATTAAATTATATAGATTGGGAATAAAGCTAAAGAAATGAACTCGTATTCACTTTATCAAATATATTATACTTTTATAGAGGTCTTGAGGCTTTTTATATGTTGAGCAGACTTGATAAGGTGTATACACAATGTATATGAGTAAAAGGGTTATACTTTCTGTCTACTCTCTTTGTACAAAGAGGGAATTACTAATATTCAATATACGTATACTAACCCCACTTACGCACGGGATACGTATGTGGGGTAAAACGTGACATGTAATGTCACGCCCCTAGTCACGTGTTCCAACATTAAAAAAGTGGTTGAAGTTTCTATCCCTATTGCCTTAAATTCGTACTTTGAAAAAAGGTTTATACACGTATTAATATTTAAAGTATGTTAAATTAACTAAGATTGAGAATAAAGCGAAAGAAATGAACTTGTACTCATCCTATCAAACACGTTGCGCTTTTACAGAGGCGGAGGTTAGGTCCTACCTTGTAATAGAAAGACCAGTCCACCTCAGTAAATGCTTGGCCTACACGACTCGTGCAATTCAGGTTCGCTATTAGATAAGACTACACTCAATGCAATCGCGTGTAAACCTTAAATACGAAGCATATGACATGTCTATACAACTTTACAAAATTGGCATCTAACTTCGCATGATAATAGGTTTTTTTAAATCACAATAGATCATATCCGAAGCACTAGGGCTTAGACAGAGTTTTATGCGACTCCCAGCAGCACTACAAAGATAGAATTGAACGTGAGTATATAACCTATGCTGCAGCCGCACAACTGAATGAATCACTCTCTTCAATATCTCCTTCAGAACACATACTCAAAACGAATCCGATCACTGTTTCAAAATGCGCTCATCTATTATCGCAACTTTCGTATGTCTACTGGCATTTGGGCAGTCTGTAAGAGCAGTACGTGCCCTACCTCCTTCTAGACTTGGTGGAGCCTTTAAACCTAGCCCACCCTTTTACTTATATCAACTAACTGAGCCAATCTCACAGTGTACACGAAGCGAAGATTGCTGTTGGGGCGGAAATGATGGCGGCGAAAATGGATGTAACAACCAGCATTCTGGTTGGCCCTGGGCAAATCCTTGCCATCGCGATAGTTACAAAGTCGATTTCTGCGAGAACAATGGTGTCAGCACTTATCTTTGTGTTAGTTACCAACCGATGCGCTTCTGATATTGTTTTAACTAATGTATATCCATTTAGGATGCCGACTGTTGTACTATTAGCACTCAGAAGGGGCGACCTTGCCCATAAATTGTTGCCAGTTGAAACCCGTAGGAAGTTTAGCATTATGAGTAGATTTCAAGCACTATTTCAGGGCACTGGGGGGAATGTCTAGGACTAAGTTTTTGTACCTTAAATAGTAGTCTTAGACTCACAATTCTAGAGAGCAAATTATCCTCTATTTAGCCTTCATATATCAGAGTCTACATGTTGTGTGGAGGCAAAATTCAGCGTGTTAGGAAACGTCGGGAGTGCCTAGAGGCCCGATGTCGTCGTTGGCTTGAAACAATTAAGCTAGAGGACGGGTATTTGAGAAATTTCGAGGTCTCGGCGAGCAGAATCATGATCGCCTGACGAAAGAAGAGGTGGAATGGAAGGACTTATAGGACATAATCAATTGAATGCTGTTGAATAATACATGTTAAATCAAAATTCCTTGAAGCCACTCAAAGTTACATCGCCTGTCCAAACTTCCTAATTGAATTCGTTGAATAGCTACATGATTCAAAAGCCAAGCAATCTCATCACATTGAGGCAGCAACTGCATCGGCAAAGAACACTCAAGGGAACTTATATATTCATAGAAGGTCGCCATTTCCAGAGAGCCTCGTGGCATTGAAAGGCGGACTTCTTCCATGGGTAAAGGGATCCCTAGTGCTCTAGACTATAAGAAGGTCTTCACAATATCAAAAGTCCTTTCAACATTCAATCCCTCTGCTACTCTATCTCTGTTTTTATTTCCCTGCTCCTCTGATTCACTTCCCTTTTTCTCCATTACATTCTTTCTCTCTTGCCTCTCGGAAACCATCTCTCGTCTTCTCTCTCCCTATAAGCTCTAGTTCCCTGTTTAGGATTCGCGAGAAGGTCATCTTGATCATACTTTTCCTCTGCATAATCACACGTGGATTTGGTCGAGTCTCCAGTAACCAGTAGCCCTGCATTTGATCCTTTATGTACATCATTCGTGTCTTGTAGAGCACCAGCAGCCCATATTTGGGTTGTATGTGTTGAATTTTGATTTCCGATGGTTGGGTCTAGATTTGCGATTTGATGGACGGCTAAGTTTGATTTGGAATGTGGATGATAACGAGTATGTGAATCCTGATTATTTGCTTTCTTGCCATGAAGAAATGAAGAAACTAAAGAAAGTGGATTTAGATGTGTTTTAAAGGTTCCCCAAATCCCTGCTGAAGTTTGTGGCGGGATTGTATCACCCCTCCCCCCTACCCCATGATTTGGAAAATTCGAGTAAGCATTATTTGGGCTTGGAGTCCTTGGAACCGGTGAGATGACATCTGGATTCTCGCAAGTAGTAGATTTAGATGAGAGGGAAGTCTCTTTCTCATTTATACTTTCGTAAGTTGTCGCGTTGGAAGATTTGTGAGTCGAGGGATTGTAGCTGGTCGCATTGTGAGGGTTACAGGCAGATTTGCTGTAGTTGACTGAGTTATAGGTTGGGGTATGAGAAATTTTGCGGCTTGTGGTATTCATTCTATGGTTCCGTTAGATTTGATACCCATATGTTATGGAGAAACTCCAAGGGGTATCGGAAACTTACACTTCATTGCCCAATTTAGTCGTCGTAGCTACGCTCTGTTTCCTACTTTTTGCCTCCTGATCTTCAAAATAATGAATTGTCTTGGTAACCAAATCAAATTTACCTGCCCAACTCCCATTCACGCTTCCACTACTCATGCCCATCCTACTATCCCTCTCCATCTTCTCCATCTTCCTTTCATGCATGCTCATCCTCAATCTCGGCCAACACCTCGCCAATCCCAATTTACACAATCCCCTTCTATAAATCTCCATCCCTTCACTATTACAACCCCAAAATACCACGATCAAAAAAGCTAAAGCAATCCAATTCCATGCATCGTACTGCATACCCTTTGGTGCATCTGCAATCCTCCAAAAGACGATCGAATGCCAATATGAAGGATCATGAATATATGACCATGAATATGGATGTAAAGGCCAACTAACATTGAGATAAAAATAATAAATAACGACTGGAAAATAGATCAAGAGAAGCATGAGTGACATTGAAAAAAGTTTAAAGAAGCGGCGAGGACTGAGTCCCGAAGAGGAAGAGGAAAGAGTACTGGTAAAATTTGTGCGATGCCGACGGAGACGATAAATCACTAGAACTATTGATTTCGTTAGTTTATTTCCCAAAATTTGCGTCTCAAATGATGTAAATGAAGAATACCACAATACATACAAGCAAAATAACAATTCAAGCATGCAAAAATGAGTGGCCAGATGTGCAAAATAACATACTTGGCCAACTCAAATCTGTCGCATCCACACATCCATAAATTGTCATAACCGTAACCTATTACTTTGTATTGTGTAATGCAGCGCTACTTGTAAAATCGGAATCGTAAAACAAAAAGCACAATCCTTCGCTACTCGTCTTCTTTTCATCGCGCGAGTTTCATGCATACATGCATTATCCGTATTCACTGCTCTTGCCAAAAATAAAGATATGCAACATGTTGTTGAGGTCATGGCTGTGTAGAGGGTTTGACGAATCGGTACTTGGATATCGCAGGACTATATGGCCAGAGAATCGAGAGGTGAGGGAGTCGGTAGGCCAAAGGAGAGCATTCATGGCGACAAAGATGAGAGAAATTATGTTTATGATGACGAGGGAGCAGGCGGCTATATTGCTGACACGATACAGGAGGCGAAATGGAACGATGAGAAGTAGTATAAAAATTATCGAGAATATTGGCAGTGTAATAGCATTAGCAGAGATTGGGTAATCTACTCCTGGTGGATCAGGTCCTGTGCTTATGATCGTGGTCATGATGTTGAAATGCAATGTGCTTCTGAGAGTATGAGGTAAAGTTGAATGAATATCAAGGGATGAGAAGTAGATATTTGAATATCACCTCTCTTCGACATAGCATTGATTTACTCTCAGTATAGGAAGGTGAGACGGACACGAATGTGCCGAAACAAATCGAGGTAGATTGAAATGACAGCAGGCAGTTCAGGCAAAGCAAGTAGAAAACAAGAGGGGTGGATGTAACAAAGAATATTTCTATTTTGATGTTTAAGCTATCATGGGAGGTGGAGATTCCCGCGAGACGTGTTTGTGATAGACAGATCGGCTCAGGTTTATCAAGAGGTTATTTTAAAGGGGGATTGACCATTCCTGCTTTGAGTATATTTGTAAAGCTTGTAGTCTTCATCTTCTCGAAATAGTTTTTCTATTGAGAAAAATTCTATCTCAGCTGCCGGAAACTCAATAGAAACAAATGTAAAATTATCAATTAAAGAGCTCGTAACGGGACCGCAAAATCCCAGCATGAATGATCACAATCCACTCAGTTTCATTCCTCACCTCAAACTCTCAATAAGAAATTCAAATCAGGACCCGAGACACTTCTCAGAAAAGTATGTGAATTTCCTATTTTTCTATTGAGGAATCCAATGATGTGGTGTGGTTGGCCAAAGAAAATCTTATTGAGCAACTCATCGGGTATAGCGAGAAAGGGGAACCGAGACGCTAAAATCCTCAATGAGTAATTGGCGAGGGGCGGAAAGAATATTACAGGAACAGGAAAATAAATCAAAAATGCATTAAAGACGAAGAAGAATAAAAGGGGCCATCATTCTGACGTACTTATGATCCGGTACCTATCCTTAGAAGATGAACTCCCAAGCAATGCAAAAATAAAATAAATTCATGTCAATTCTCTATTCACCCTAAAATTATACTGTACACAAGTGTTCCCATACTTCACACACTAGCGGAAGTGACATCTCAAGGGATGTTGCATCGTTTTTCAAGCACATGCAATGAATGCGTCATTGAAGGTATATTTAGTAAAAAAATACAAGGACCTGTATTTCTGAAGCTGTTGCACCTCAAAAGTTTGGTGTTAAGTTTGTGTGTGGTCATTTTCGGGAATCTGGTTTTGCTGCTGATGTGATCCATAATCGATGGTGTTGATACAATCGCGTAAAATTATAACATTCTCATCTAGAGATCGGAATCCACAAGTAAGTTTACCTTCCATCATTTAATAATTTGAATCCTTCCACGTTCGGTTGGGGAACACGAATTCAAAATTGAAGGTCTTGATTTGGATAGCTTTGCATACCACCAAAAGCTACTATCAAATGTTGAAACCACAAGTTTTAAAGCCACAGAAATTTATGTGATATCTAGTGACCAAAGTAAGACTGATATAAGGAAAAGAACAAGTCCGAATAGAAAAGATTCCCAATGTAATCTATATCGAAACAACATTTCTACGCAATCACCTCCTCCAGTATTCCGCATAAAATTACCCACATTTCTCTTCGACATTCCTTTTCATCTCAAACAAGCAACGAAAACCCATGCCACAAGTCCCATTTCCCACACACGCCCCTAATACCACACACCCCTAATAAATTCCTCACAATTCCGTCATACTATCCATTATCCAGGTCTTCGTATCTTCCTGTGCATCCATTGCTTCCTTCAACTTATCCTTCATATTAATAAACGCATGCGGCGCCCCGGTATAAATTTTAATGATGGCCTCCCCACCCACCATCATCCACTTTGTGGCCATTGTTACCGAATCATCTAGTAACGGATCTTCCGTACCACATGTGAAAAGAGCACTTGGTAATCTTCCTCTGAATTTCTCAAGATCTTCATAGTATGGTGATATGAGAGGATCTTTCTTTTGTTCGTCACACATCTCTGGAAGGAATGCGTTGACGAATTTACGCATCAAATCGTGATCGAGTATTAAATTGGGACGAACGAAGTTTCGACATTGAGGGAGCATTGTGAGATCGTATATACCGCAATGGAGAATTAGCCCGGACAACTTAAAATCAGGAAGATTTTTGAGAAGATGGAAGGCGACGAGTAAAGATAAATGAGCACCTGCACTCTATAAAGTACCTAGTATTAGTAGATACATCATATGATTGTAAAAGACCCCACATACCTCTCCCCCGATAAATTTCAATGAACTACCGAAAACCCCTTTCCCATGCTTGACCAAGTATTCTCCCACGTCAACACAATCATTTGGACCACATGGAAAAGGATATTCAGGAGCAAGTCTATAACCAACTGACACAATTGCCAGGTCTCCAGCATCAGCATAAAACTGGAGGAGAATATCGGCAGAATGTTGATCGCCAAGAACCCATCCACCACCATGTATAAGGTATCCGATTGCTCTTGTCTTCTTTCGTTCCTCGATAGTTTTGCGCCAAAATGGATATATTAAACGACAAGGGATTGCTCGATCACTATCACGAGAAGGGATTTCTATGTCGAGACCATCTGGTAAGAGTTTAGGCTTCGGGATGGGAGTTTCCCCAGCATCCCTCATCTTACGATATTTTGAGGCACCCATCTGGAAAGTTACAGTAAGTAGTGAAAAAACTGTAGATAAATTGACAACCAAACCTCAAACCATTTTGGACCATCCCTCAGCAAGTTGATCAAATCCTCGTTAGCTTTAGCTGTACCTGCCGATGTATTGCTTGGCTCAAACTTTGCAACATTGATGTGAATATCCGACTTGAGTGGCATTGTTGTTAGACTGAGGCTGGAAAGATTTAGAGTGTGGGAGAATAAATATGACAATTGAGAAAAGAAATCTGAACATGTTTGGGAATCACAAGTGAAGGGCATCATCCATTCTTAAACCGCGAGTTCTGAGTTGTTAAAAATCATGTTGAATCATATTGACTCACACTTTCTTACTCGTCTTCACAATTTCTCTTTGATAAATGAACAAACTTCAGATTCCAGCGACTTCCCACCATTTTCTCTCAAGGTTGTTTGAATCGGACGCCGTCAACAATAGAGTCGGATTTATAGGCGTTACATCCGCATGACAACAGACTATTTGTGACGTCCTCGGTTAATAGAACCCCTATGATGCGTATCTCACATTCCGTGTAACTATTCAACTCGTGGAAACCAATCACAAAGTCGTTATGACGACGTGTATTTCCAAAGGCTTGTGAACAGACCTGCTTCATTTATTCCGTGCAAGAAGTTGAGAAAAGTGGCATAAAACATTTCATTCATTGGATCTAACTTGATGGTGGTCATGACCAAATTCCAACTTTCCAACTGTTGAATTCTCATCTCTTTGATTTGTTTTGTACACGATCAATAACTTTTGAATGAGGCGCATATCGAACATTCGAATTTCTCTTAGGTTTCTCCATTGGTTCTTGGCCACCAAGTAGGAATCGGGTGTAATTAACCACCGAGAGAAGTGTTTTCAACGGAAGACTCGCGATATTACCGAAAGCTTGTAATGGGAGAATCATAGCCGAAGATATCCAATCGAATAATATTCCGAAAGTACTGCGCCTTTGTGAATTATTAGCTGCTGCTGCTGCCAACGAGATAGCATCATTCAATCGTGCTTCCAAATCTAATAGACGGCTTTCCGTTTGGAATGATTGAAGTGTAGCGCGCTTTTCATAACGGCGTACAGCTCGGTTTAGAGCATCTAAATCTGGTTGCATTGTGCGGCGAACTTCTGTAGTAAGAATCGCCGATTGCTTCCCATTTAAGACCAGCTCTGGCATGCTTCCGGCGGACGAATCTACATTTGAGGCTCGCGCCTCTAATTCCTCCAATCTTCGGACCAACGCTTCATTATCTTCTGCCTTTTTTTCACTGGAACCATCGTACGCATGTGAGTTCACAACTCTTTGTAAATGCAGTGTTCTTGCTCGTAGTAACCTGACTAGATGTGCCATTGGTCTCAGCTCTGATGCTAGTAAAAAGATGGTCAAATTGTAATTCGAGACCAATCCTTCGGACGGGCGGCTCAATTGTGATCGTATTGAATGTAGTATATATGCCCCGGCTATTGGAAATATGAAACATGATAATAAAGCCAATATCTCATGAACATAGAGTTCATTGGTAGCAGACTCGTGTACAGGCTGGCGTCGCTCTGTCTTGGAATGCGAGTTCGATTTGTCGTCCGACGTGTCTTCGAGGATCTCGGTCGTAGAATCCATTGCGCATTCATCCCCGCTTCCTTCCTCCCGAGCCATTTCCTCATTATATACCTCTTTCTTTCGAATCGACTGTGCTGAATGATACCAATCCCCTGAATTATTAGCATGTGTTGATTACTATGGATACTTCCCCAACGCCGGTCCACTGCCATTTCTACATGACGGATTCCAGATTTCTGGAAACAGATGACTCACATGGTACCCTTACAGACCAATTCAGTAGAATGGCCGCAAATCCAAGTAACATAATATCGGTAATGACCGAATTTCCATTTGTGAAGAAGAGACCACCAATTGCTGGCAGAAGGGCAAAGGCTAGAGGGGCCGAATCCCAGTGTGAAGAATCATGACTATGTTCCTCCTTCATATCGCTAGGTTGAGGAAACAAAATATCGTCTGTTGAATCCCTCAAACTCTTGTTAAATTCGTTCAGCGAATATTCCGAGAAATTCGAACTCCTGCGACGACTTCCACCTGAAGGTATTCCATCTGTGGACCAACGATTGGTACGACGTCGATTTAATGTTGCTGTAGGCTCATCACCGGTAATATTGGAAGCTCTGCCAGCAGGTGATATACTCTTGGTTGGATTTGGTGATGAGGACCTATCGGTATTGATGATGTTGAGGTTGTTGTTGTGGTTTTGGGTTTGGTTTCGGGTTCGAGTTTCTTCAACCATATTGCCAGGGTTTATTTCGGGTGGGTGGATCGATCTTGAATGGTCCTGCAGTGTGATGTGTGGGGAAATGATGAGGCGAAAGGTAAATCTGATGAAAATAATGGGGATGATTATGGGGATGATGGAGATGCTTCTGCAAGGTACTCGAGGACTGTTGAAGTTTATTATATTGCTTGTATCTTAGGTAGGTGTAATTGATGAGAAGTTTTGATGTCGATAATGCTACTAGGTAGGTATGTCTTTAACCACCGGAGATGAATAAATGTTAATACATATGGTGGCTTTTACTGATTAATTTCTGGCTCTTACTTTTGTGTTGCACTTCCGAAGCTCAGCTGTGGTGTTGATGTAAATCTTAACTCAATAACCTTATGACCAGCGACAAACCTACCTAGGTGCGCAATTGATTAATTAGTGTAGACCTCCACGTACATCTATTCGGGAGTACAATTCTATCTATAGTTCGATTGTCTCGGGAAATATCCCCATTACGTATATAAATGTATCGATACGTATAGATACCTACGTATATACAAGACAGTGCTCGTGCTCGTACACACAAGCCTGGTACATGCCAGGATTTGCAATCGTCATTCTTCCCCTTAGCTCCAACATCAACATTTCCTATTTGTCTCCCTCTGTACTCGTCGTTCCTAACAAAACATTCCACCAAATTTAATACACAGAATTATAGAAACGCTCTGTAGCTACAATCCCGTGACTTAATAATCCTATTAAAATCAGTTCATTCAACAAAGGGCTCACTACTAACGATAGACTTTGCGGATAAAAGTTCCTAAGCTTAAGCTTACTGCCGAAGGCTTAGATCTAGGTACGGTACGGTATACCTAGGTACCTAGGTAGGTGCTGGTGATGACTTTCAGCACACGCTAAGCTCTTTCCTTCATGGCCCGTCCCTTTGCGAGTGCCCACCCTACCTGGACATCCAGTTTAAATGCTACAATAACCTCCGTAGGCTAGATTGATCCAACTTTTCGATGTATGGTGGCAAAGAAAGTCTTAGAGACAAGATATATATACTCAAACCTTCAATCGCAGGAAAAAGGTATTATTCATTTGTTTTTATAATATACATCCACTTCTCCCCCTCTACACTTGCTCTTACAAGCCACGGAATCTCTCCTTTCCCCTTTCCACAAATCTTAACGGCACTTTATCCTCTTTCGCCATCTTCAACACTATTTGCGCTTGATTGCATCTTTTAAGCACCTCCTTCGTTTCTATAATAGCTTTTTCATAAACTTCTCTCCTCTCTTCATCATTCATCCTCTGTACTTCCCCATCACTCGCCCATCTAGACACATCCAACTCCACACTATATTTCTGAAATATCACAGTCAAAACAGCAATCCTTTCCACCTGCGCGAATTTCTTGCCCGGACAAGCGCGTGGTCCCTCGCTAAAAGGTATGAATGCTCCTTTGACTGGTTTAAATAGTGTAGAGCTCTCATGGTCACTTTTATCCTTTACCAAATCCTCATCTTCATCCTCATCCGCATGTTTCATCTCTTGGCGCTCTTCCACTTTCTCTACAATCCATCTTTCCGGTACAAAATCATTCAAATCTGTGCTTCCTTCCTTTGAAATCCTATGTGTCCCTACAGTATTCAGATGAATAAAACATCCTTCCGGCACCACTTTCTCCACTCCATCAACTATAACCTTCTGTTTCCCTACAGTAATCTTCGGTATTGTATCCGCTATCGGCATTAATCTCAATTCTTCATTCAACACCGCTCCTACCATACTATTGTACAATTTTGGAAAATCACGCATATATGTCCAATGCTGTGGCTTCTTTGAGCCAATAATCAAGTCTATATCACCTTGCATAGATGTCTGAGACAAGACAGAAATGGCGAGGTAGACGAAACAAAGCTGAATGCTGGATGCAGTTGTTTCATGGCCGGCGAGGAGAAATATAAAGGCATTTGATTTTATTTCGGCTTCGGTGAGGGGCAAGTCTTCGTTTCGATTTGATACCATGGGGTTCTTAGGGGAATTCAGAGTCTCAGTGGATGCTTTGAGCATATTCCCTTGATATTGTTAGTGTCATCGGATGGATTGCAAATTATAGTTGCAATCTCACCCATTAGGTCCATGGTAACTTTGTCATAATCTCCAGCTGATATTTGCTTCTTTTTATGCTCGAGTAGTCCGGTAACATATTGATTTGTTTCTTTAAACGCTTTGTACACCTTTCCATGGCGCTTTATAGGTGAAAGTTCTTGAAACGTCAGAAGAATGAATGCTTGGAGGGGAATCAAGTAACTTACTCAACATCCACTGGGGCCATAATAATATGAGCTATATCACGATTAGTACCCCTATTTTTCTTTGAATTTCATTCCATTTTTGCTTACAAGAAGACTACTCAAAACTGTATTAATGCAATCTTTGAATCCCAATGAATGTTCTCCAACCGGTTTACTCAAACCCAAATTCGGCATCTCTTCCCCTTCAATCTTCAAATCCCCAATACCCACGTCTACTTCCTCCTCTCCTTCCCACGACTGTGGTACTCCAAATCCCACAGCGCAAATCACATGCAAACTTAGAATTGCCGTATCACTCCCCGCATCTTCCACTCTCAACTCCTCATGGCCCTTCTCGCTACTTCTACTTCTCCTCCCCCAAATTCTAATCATCGCCTCCGCTTGTCTGATACTCTCCGCCCAAACTAACTTTATACTTTTTTCACCAAAGCTCTTCCCCACTACCTTCTTATGTCTCCTCCATTCCTCTCCTTCAATTGTCACAATGTTCTTCCCAAAAAATTCCAACACCTTATAATTCTTCACGGGCTTAACGAAATCATTTTTTCGCGTTGTGAATTGCGCTATCAACTCTGCGTTTGTCGTGCGTAAGAGATTGAGGTTCGTGGCCGCGAATATGTAGGTGTCTCCATGGAGATCATAGGAAGAGCGGAGATTGAGGAAGGAGTTGCGGTGGTTGGCTATGCTATGGGGATGTTAAATGGTTTGATGGGCTATTTTCTGGGGGGTGTTTTTGGAATTGGGGGTGCAATAATTGAGAGAAGAGAAACTTACTATAGCCATTCCCAATGCTTCGTTCCAGGTAATCTCCTCAGAATTGGAATAAACAACTTCAAAGTCAAAATATTTTTTAATCCGATTGGCGCAAGAGCTAGAACAACCCTTTAACATCAGCGCCTTCATTTCTTTTCAGTCCAAATATTGAATACACCCACGCGTCTCAATAACTGGAAATCCGGTTTTCTGTGCTATCCTTCTAGAATCCAAGAATCCATTATACGCATTTCCCACTTTCCACAGCAGCAACGTCCATAGAGCTAGTCCTATGAACAATATACCGACCATTCCGAATTCCTTGACGTTCAACGCGATGCACGATAATTTGGCAGGATGAAGAATTACGAATCACGACTACCCAAAATGCAAACAAAAAATCAACATGCATTTAGAAAATCGTCGATGGATCAAATGAATGATTGTCAATCGCTTCAACCCTGACGTGAATAAAAAGAGCAAGTAAATCGAGTGGAATTCAATATATGTGATCCTTCATACATGTCTTACATATGTAGGATACGGAGCGGTACCCCTCATCCATAATCTCGACACCTATCATTATGGATCGTAGTGTAGATAATCCTTCATAGATGGATAGCCTAGGTACGCATGTAAGATGAAGAGAAACATGTGGATAGAGATAAGGATAAGCAGAACCTTCATTCAGAACAATTATTGAATTTTATATGGAGGTATGGAGTAACTATCTTTACTTATTCGTCCATGATTCTCTAGAAATTCCCTCCTAAACCAGGGTCTCGTATATAGGTAGTATTCTTTAATCATACGTCTATCTATGAATGGAAGACATCCTCCATACTTCGTACATTTAATTATTCCATCTGAGCACCTGGCACCGTCTAGACTTCAAAAGCTCAAAGCTCACAGCTGAAACCCCACTCCTCCCCTGGAATGATAACCCAACCATAACAACCACCCCCCTCGCCCCCGCCCCCCTTGATAACGTCCTTGTTGTCCGTTCCCATTTTATGGCTGATTCGACCCCGCCGTACGTATATATGTAACTCTACATACCTATACAAGCGAGGTCTCCCAACAAGGTACGAGTACTCGAACAGGGAAACATTTTTATCCACCAGAATGAGATATGCATTCAACGAATATTGATTAACTGCTGCTTGGGGCCACTTAAAGCTGTTTAAGGACGGCCAGGACTGACGTGCATATAGATAGATACAAAGTCTGTAAATTACATAGCATCCAGATACCTCCGGCAGATATACTCAGGTACACACAGCTTAGCTATAGCTTTTTATGTATTCCATGTAACCTTAGCACTAGCAACTCAGGGTAGCAGCAATTCAATACGCAATAAACCCATAAAACCTCGACATAAGAAAATCCAACGAAATTTCGATTTCTTTCGTTCACTCAAACTTTCTTTGGTCCTTGAATTTCATTCATTTGAATTTCGATGACCTTACATCATTATCGATTTGCAAGCTCCATGACCAAGCCTGACATATTTCGTTTGGATAAACAAGCCCCAACAAACATGATAGTATTCCGAAAGGCAAACCCTGAATTTAGACCCGTTCCATGTATTAATATCCGTTCTCATACATGCAGTACCTACGCCATACCATTGCCGTTTCCATACCTTGCCTGCCGCCTATACCGCACATTTCCTAATTTACCCATCCGTCCCGATTGCATAAGCACCCTTCGATGAGACCCCGATATCAACCATTCATTACATCCTCATCCCTCAGCCTCGTCCCTCGCCCTATCCATTCGAGTTTTCATCTATTATCCCAACTCTTCGGTCTAGGTCGCCGTCCGTCGCTAATATCCGAGCTCACCGGGCACCAGCAAGGCAAGCACGGACACCCGTACGGGCACCAGTGGAAGCCATTTTTTCGCTTGCACGCTACTATCGGCAATTAGAGTCTAAATTTTGACCCAGTATAGGGGACCTATCTGCCATCGAACTCTTGGCCCCTCTGTGATCATGATAATGCTGAAAGAAATATTGAATGAATGCTCTCTAATCTTGGAAAATTCTGATCAATTAACAAATTAGTCAAAGATTAACGATTGATTAGTGCGTGAATATAAGCTGCATGTGCAATACCCAGGCACATTATGTATCCCTCCCTTTCCATCCCTAACCTTCGCATTACTGATAGACAAAAGTAACTCACTGGTACGTCATTCCAAATGCATTCTCTTCACCCCAGTAATTTCGACCTAAAAGCAGCTCTCCTCAAACAAATCCCCAATTAATTCATTCCCTCATGGGAAGGAAGCCTACGGAAATGTTACGGAATGGTCACGGAAAGGGATGCTGTAACGGTAGCCAAGAAATCAAAATGCAAACAAAATTCAATACATCCAAACAGAATCTAACAAACGCTCAAAAAATTACCCAACAAGTATGTACTGCGTACACAAATCAAAGCACTACTTCAATTTTCTACCCCCCAAGAGCTGCTTCGTCAAGCTCTTTTGGTCGCTTCGCATACACCCATCCAAACTTCATAATCATGCATATGCAATTCTACAAACGGAATCAGGTACTACAAATTATATATTATTCATATGGATAGGCAGGTAGAAGGGTAGGTACTAGTACATGCACATGCAAATCATACCCGTCTAGCCGCTCGCTCAAGTACACTCGAATCAAAAGGAGTAGGTAACGGTGTTTATTGATTATTCCAGGTCTTTTAAACATCTAGACCCGACTACTGTATACATTCTCGTCTCATTTCTTCTTCTTCTTGCTTTGCTTTGCTTTGCTTCTCTCCACTTTGCCTGATTTCGTTCCCCGCATTTTCATGCTTCTTACCTTCCAATGCTATAGATGCAATATGAGGAAAGGCAACGAATTAATGAGTAGATATGTAAATAAAAATATTCAACTCTCATAATCATAATTTAGCCTGACTGGCCAGCCATAAAGACTGCCGTTCTTAAGTTCCATGCTTCAAGTAACCTTTGTGAGTCGAAAAATTGCATCCATAATTCCATGTACAAATTCCCTTCATTCACGTATCAACCATCCATCTCATATCATTACCCTCAGAACACCAATCCAATCCATAAGATACTATCCGTGTCAATAATTCAATCCATCAACCTCCATTAAAAATACCGTAACAAAGTACCTAAACAAAGTGTGCAGGAAAAAAGAGAAATTGTCCACGTATTAAATCTCCAAACCCGAGTGAGTCCCGGTTCAAAGTCCAAAGGTTCCATCCGAGGCCGAACCTAAACTTTTCCACCACAAAATTCTGCCAGCCAATTTCAATTCCACCTCCACCCATTCAATAATATCAATAGAACTCACATGTCAGTCGCTAAAATCAGAGAACAGTGAAAGATAAACTAGCATAAAGCACAAAACGTAAAAGTGATTTCAAAAAAAGAAACTTGAAAAAAATTGCACAACCAAATCGAACGCTTGCACCACCACCATCTCATCCCATCTTAGTCTCCGCTGGTTTTATGTATATAAAAATATGCCAGTCAAACATGTCAAGACATGATATTCGATCGCTTGCTCAGATGAGTATATGCCATCGCCCACCAGGAGAGTTAAAATAATCGAAGCGCCAATACTCCCTCTCCATTGCTTTTGGATAAACCTAAAGAGAGTCATTCCTTAACCCTGATGAATACTCGGATCTTGTTTAAGATCTGCATCATGATGACCATAATTATTACTGCCGAGAAAATCGAATCCGCCATGATGTTGATGGGTAGGGAGTTGATGTGGATGACCGAGACTTCCTGTTCGAAGCTGACTTCCTATTTGAGGAGTTGTGTCGTATTGAGATCTATGTGGCAGTCCATCGTAGCTGCTTTGGACACTGTGACCAATAGGATGCGATGGTAACATGGATTGAGAGTTGGGTGGGGGAAGTTGATACGAATTGGAGGAGAAAGGTTGTGGGGAATTGGATGTGAACGATTGAGATTGTGGTGATGTTGTGTAAAAGCTTGAGGCTGGAGATGGATTACTGAAGAAAGATGATGTCCAGCTCACATTTGCTTGTTGGGAGTTCTGGTATTGAGCTGGAGACATAGAAGTGGACATGGAACGTTGAGGTTGGTCTTGTAGGCTTGAGCTACTAGGATCATTGAAGCTAACGCGAGGTATATATCCAGTAGCGGTATGAATGTAAGAGGAGTTGTGTATATGATCTTCCTGTTGTGGATTGTATCGAACCGAGGCGTGTCGAGCTGGTGCATACACATTATCATGTTCTCTCTGCTGATTAGACGACGTTCCTTGTTGTGCTTGCTGAATTTGAATGATTGAAGGCGAGACCGAGCTATGCGGAGTTAACATCATTGGCGAGGCTTCTATTTCTTGAGGTTGTAAATCATCGTCTTCAAGCTTCATGCCCTCATCTGGTTCGTCGTCTGAAATTTCCGCGCCGTTTCTATCACCATACATTACCGAAATATAAGTATCAGGGTCTAATGAGATATTAGCCATCTGACAGTACAGTGTTTGAATCTGAAATGAGATACTGACCTCGCTCGCCATTTTTGTACTGCTCCTCCATTCGAGCAACCTTGAATATCTCCTTCAAAAAAGGCTTCTTGGCAGAATTCTCGGGATGATCCTTTTCCGTAAACCAATTCGACATAGCTTCCATCGTAACTTCTTCCAGTTTCTTGACGTTGAGGTTTAGCTTCTGAACTGCGGAACATTGCTTATGATATGGCTCGATAATCATTCTCAAAATATGTACCAACAAACGTATTCGCTCTAATCATAATATTAATCAGGATGTCTTTGATTTACATGGTGATGTTGAACTTACCAGGTTTCAAAAGGTGATCTGGTTCTCTGTGACGAACTGAAAAATCTCCACTTGTAGCTGGCCACCACGGTGGGGCTTTATCAGCACCCTTGGTATATGGGTAATGTGTCTGCTTTCTAGGCTCAACGAGCTTTACAAAAGCTTTTCCCATAACCTTACAAGAGGCTTGCTGCATATCCTTGAAACGGCAACTGTAGAATTTCGTAACCTCTTCCTCGTCACCTATTCTCAATAACATTGTCTTCCTCTCTACGATGGGACTTGGTGTATCTTCACTTGAGTCATCATATTGATGATGATATCTCTTAGTCTTTTTCGATCCTGTCGAATCATCATCGTCAGAATCCTCTGAACTTTGTCGAAACTGACGGTGTCGGCGCCTCTTTCCAGAACTTGAAGCATTTCCGGTAAGTCTCCTCATACCTGGTGCGTTATCCATGCTAAAGTCACTATATCCGCTCTCTTGACTATAGGCTGTAGAGATGAACGTTAGCAAGAAAGACATAGAGGCCATTTGAAAGGTGACTGACATGATGAATTTGAGAATGAGGCATCCAGAGCAGCTCTTTGTACAGATTTGTGAAAATCATTCTTCAAGTGTGGCGAGAATATTCTCGGTTGAAAATTCTTCAGAGTTTGGGAGGTGTAGTTTACTTCCCTTCCATCGTCAAGAATGGCGATGACGGCAAACTCTTTTACTGGAATACGAGCGCAGGATCTCAATGCTTCCTCGACAGTCTAAAGAGTTGTTAGTTAATTCACACTCTATGAGATGAATGGATTGTCACTCAACGTACAAGAGCTAGTTCGTGAGGGTGAGGGCGGTGTGGTATAATTGGTGTGAGTCGAGCTTCGCTCAAGGAAGGTTGGCTGCAATCGAATGATCTCTCCGCGGTATTGGGCCATGACTCACGGCCATAGCAATCCCTAGACTGCATGGGATTCTCATGCTGAACCATATTCAAGAAAGGTATTCAGATGATGAATAGACTAAGGGCTCTGAATCTTTGACTCGAGGCGGTGAAGTTACAAGTCGAGCTATCGTATTGATGATATACTTGACAAGTCCGTGAGGTATAAGACGTATCAGGAATTAGGAGCACGGGAGACTGCTTTAATGACTGCTCGACAATCTACTGTTTACCAAAACTCAGTGTTAGCGTATTAATTTACGCATATGCATGATAAAGATCCGAGTCTGTAAGGAGATCCAAGACATGGAGATGGAAAAAGTAAATCAATGAGGCTTACATCAAAACCAGGGTTATCTTCGTATTAATATCATAAACTCATGGCAACTAGAAGAAAAAATTCACAGGAAAGAAAAAAGTAGCGTTGTATCGGGATTCAATTTCGAAGGTAACACCAAATCAGATTCCCGCCAGATAGGTGGGGAAGCTGAGTTTATAGTCGCAAATTATCGATTGAGGCGTCAAGTACCCAAGCATGAGACCCAAGAGTGACTATCTTACCACCGTCCCGACCGAGTATACTCTTTCCCGATACGAGACCGTACGGACCGACTCTCGGAATTAGGCACCGAAAGACTTGTGAGTTGACGTGAGATATGAGATGGTGTAGTGTAGGGAGTTAAGGTTTGGAGGAGCGTTGAGTATCCGTTGACACTATCCAATTGACAATTCAATCGCCGCTATATCAAGAAACTGGACGACTAAGAGAGTATTTGAGACACTCTAATATTGTTCGGAAACCGGCAGTAGTAATTGTTTCAGTTGATTTATTTTTCAATTTTCAGGGACCTTTTTGGGCCTTGATCCGCCGTTTGATCTTCGAACCCTTGGGACCATTAGACGCGCGGGGAATCTGGACTGAGATGGCAAGTGAGACCAGAATAGATTCTTAGATCAGTGGACATACAGTCGATTGAAATAAGTATCAGTAATAGATATATGATCGATCCACAACTGTGTGTAAAATGAGCAACTAGATGATAGATCTAGTATCTAGATGAGGGGGAGGAAAGGAAGAGAAAATGGCAAGAAGGAAAGAAGAGATTTAAGATAAGGACAGAAGATTCGAGTAAAGTCCCGTAGGCAATGTACGGTAAAAAGGCTGCATGGAGGATAGAATGGGTGAGGGGATATGTATGACGCAAAAAGCCCCCAGTCGCTTGTAGGACACCAAGCTTAAACGAAGCTCTGAGATAAATTCGATGCGCTGTTCAATATGTTATGATTCACGGTTTGTTTGACTATACAGAATTTATTTCTGTTGTGTTCCTGTCTGTACATCTAAGCTTGCGTTGCGTTTGCGTTATTCGGTGGTTCGTTGAATAATAAATGTCGTGCTACCATTTGAGAGATGGGGGAGGGGAGGGGAGAGGAAGGAGGAACGACCAAAATCGCGACCTACAACAATTGAGGTAAATAAATTAATTCTGGCCAATATTATAATTTATTTTAGCCAGTTTCTTGAAGCAGCATGCCAGAATTTCCAAGAGGATTTGATCATCACGGAGTACCCAGATACCCAGATTGTTGGGTTTAGCTATGGACTTGATGATTGACGGAAATCCATGTCATCCATGTTTTGGTGTAGACACATGGACCACTACAAAGACCAGTAAGGAATTAGGGTATACCACGCAACGGTTCCTGGGGGTTTCAAATTAATCCTTGAAGTTTGCCTTGCCGTCGTGTGTATTACTCGGCATGGATTAATCAATTAATGGACTAAGAGATTAAATTGAACGGGGGTGTTGTGACACTAATACAATGCGACGCGATGTGATGCTGGTATAGGTTGGATAATAAGCGATGATAATCTGTCTATGCTTGCTTTGGTGGATAATCCCTTCGGACTAGATAAGATAAAGATTGGGTGTTGTGATATCTTTACTATTCTGGTATATCTTCGCAATAAGGGTAATATGCTCACTCCATATGCAAAATTCGTGGAAATAACATTTTGAGTTTAGGTGTGAAAAGACAGTTGTCGATTTGTCTGTTCATATTTGTGGTTTACTGCTTTCTACCTTGCCCCTTTCTACCTTTATGATTATTTTTCTGATACAACGAATCAGCTACATCCTTGATAACGCCATGAAGCATGCTTCTTGAATAAAAGATCATTTGGTCGAGGTAAATGGTTCTATGGAATTCAATCGAAAAACGTGGGGAATCGTGGGGGGGGGGGGGGGGGGGGGGGGTGGGGGGGGGGGGGGGGGGGGGGGGGGGGGGGGGGGGGGGAAAGGGACCATAATCATGACCATTAACGGCCCTTCTAGAATTCGGATTCAAAGTCTAGAATTGATACCAGGTGTAGTAGCATTCTATACTTGGAGACATGGATTCGAAGAGGGGAAGGGCCGAGGCGCATATTGCGGGAAAGGCAACAGCGTGAGAAAACAATCCTGCGATGAGAATCGAGAAGTAAGCCTGAATGTGCACAATTCCAAGACTGTGGCTTTTTCTGGGTGTTACCATGAAGATTAGGGTTCATATGCATAAATAGATGTACGCGGTAGACTTATCTGGGTAATAACATCCATACATCACGAATAGAGTTGAATCTTCTCGATAAGATGTATAGATGTTTAGAAAACTATTTGTCTCCTCGAGTAGATGAAGTGAAGTTACAATTGAGCTCGAGCTAAAGAAATATCAGGTCCATGCACTAGGTACTAATTCATTACTTAATTAATAAGGCTCCTAGTTACTCCAGATTCTTATCATTTTCTCTTATTTTCTTTTCTTTTGATTTTCTTTTGATTTTTTATTTCTTTTTCTTTCAATCTATGTATACAGCACCCCTCTCGACTATAATGCCGTACGTCAAAAAACTCCTCAACATTTCGAGCCATCTCTGCATCGGTACCTAGATAGCTGAGTGAAAAAGCCATCTTATTGGATTCCTACAACATTTCGTAATATTTGACCTCAATGCAGATCACTCCGGGCCTTCATGGGTTCCTGGACCTAGTTTACAATACAGTTTGCGGGGTGAACGACAACCGAAAGTTAATTGGAAATAATCGATAAAGCTAACGAACGACACCAGAACTAACAACCTATAATTATCGGAGTCTTCCTTCCAAGATACCTAGCGTTGATCTCAAATCAACTCGAATGGCTTAATTCATCTATCTATTGAATGATTTCACTTGTTCTTGGTTTTCAGCTTCGTGACGGTATCATAATTAATTCACAAACTCATCCGAAATACGGAATTTTCCTACTTTCTTCTTCCTTGCTTCCTTTCGTGAATTTCATTTACACATTGCTGTCTGGGTAACCAATCTCAGATCGTACAACATCAAAACAGTAACTTCTAGCCAATGACCAACTAAAGGGTTCAAAAACTGGACTTGAAATCCTACGGAGATCGTCTGATCTACCCGAATCCTGCTTCGTAGCAAGGATGGATCACGTATAATCCACTCATTGGTTCAAAATTTCAATGTTTCAATTCATATCCGGCTGGAAGATTGATTGCATATGGCAACAAGAAGTCTCCGCTAATAGCAAAGTCGTACATAGTATAAGTGTAATCGTCCGACCTCGTCTTCCCAGAGCCGACAGATTCGGAGAAAAGCCTCCCGATTCAATCGAATATCAAGTGGATATAATACAAAATACTGCCAAATCGCATCACCTTTAACGTGATGTTCGAGGGCATACTTTACTTCACTCCCATGATCGTTATCGAAGGGTCAATTATAATCTCGGAGAAAATGAGGATGTGGAGATCCCGACGAAGTTGCCATATCAGGAAGCGGTGAAAAATTGGTGGCAGTTGACGCGCATGTCAAGAACTGCAGGAAGGCAATTGTAACGATTCATCTTCCGCTATTCTTCGACTCTAGATGTTAGCAGTCGCCACAGATATGAGAACGTAGCGGTCAGAAAGAGTAGTGCTCTTCTATCCAAGTGGTTCCGTTAGGACATCATGCAACTGACCACAGGTCACAAGTCTATCACAAGCTTTTATTTAGAGATTTTATGAAGCATGTTTACTGATCCGGTTTTTAAATCCATCGGTAAGAAACACCGCGATATTCATCGTTGCATATTACTCTCGATTTACGCCCATATCAGTCGTCGTGGCACAAACATACGCGAAAGCCCACAAGAGGTTTGCATTGTCGCGTGCCAGGCTTATAAATGTTCGACATATCTTTACAAGCAGTCTCGCCCATATATTTGAGATAAAATTTCGAGCTACCTTATCACACAATACAATATTTAGCAAGTATATGCTGTAAAACCTATGAATTTTATCAAGTCTGTCAGGGCAATTCCTTGGTTCATAATGCTACGCGATATTTCCGTTGATTTTTTCTTCGAGCTAATAATCTGAATCTATAATTGCGAAGGATAAATATTCTTATCTCCATCTACTCAGTTGGTGATATAGACATAAGCGAACTGATTTACACTTCGTCCGATATCACTCACGCTGCTCAACTATGTTCCCAATCAATGACAAAGTCAAGCTCCCCATGCACGCTTCATGTTGTGGTAACAGAAGCTTTGTTGATAGATTCCGCTAAAGAAGGCTATTCACAGAATATACTTACTATGATGTCTCGTTGCATGTTTCTCTGGCAGGTTGGGAACACATAACAACAAAGTTGTCTGCTCCTTGCATGTGACCGTGGCATATAAAGGTTCAAGTCAGCTCGAGCAATATTTGCACCTAGCTTTGAGGTTTTACATGATGTCATACTTCTGTGCAATAGCACTAGATCCTGAAAAAGTACTCGTGTAGGTTTTGAATACCTCGAAGCTGATTTTAATGTGTGTGAGCACCTTAACAATGCGGTATACTCTACATATCTGTTCATCATTACCATAAGCCTTGCCAAATTGGGTCAAATCTAATCGTATATTTATGTACCAGTCAATTAAATTCTTTTTGCTCTCTACCTTCTTATCACAATATAATCATGAGTCAACCAAATGTTACACAAAGCCCTTCAAATCCTTCATCAATCCTTTCTTATCTAGATATTGGTATCCAATCAATCCCGCGTATTATCCCCCGCTAAGCTTACTTAAGTCGAGTAACCGATATCCCTACATCGTGCACATCCCTGTATCGTGCACGCTTTTTTAGCTTTCAAAAATATCAATATTACCATCTAAATATCGCGATAATATGTCTTTAGAAAGCTATATAAGCTTGCACTAGATTATATTAAAGGCTAAGAATGTTCTAAATACACCCAGATAGCTTATTTATACGAAGTCGATCATATTACACTCTCAAAACAACATAGAGGTAAAACCACCTCCTATAAAATAAGCTATGCCGATACACACCAATATCTTTTATTAAAGTAAGAGAAGGCTTTATTAAATCAGATTAACAAGTTAACACAAAGATCTATATTTTCTACAAATGCTATAATTAGAAATTTAGCAGAAGAGATAAAAGAATGCTCTATAGGGAAGAACTAGACAGTCAATTTCGTTAAGTAGTATAAAAGTTGTATTCAAAGTCGATATCTCTATTGTATTGATAATTTGTATATCAAGGCTGATAATATGAATATATTTGAATACTTTTATAATCTTATTAATACTATTTTATATTATTATTGATTTATATTATTTAAAAAAGCTCTTGCTAATCTCTCTCTTTTATTCATTTAATTAGTAAAAACGATTATAAAATATAATATTGCATCGAAAAACATATACAATTGGAACGAGAAGGGGTTTCTAATTGGTTTGGAAAAGCTATAAAGAGGATAATGAGTATTAATATATATAAAAGAAATAGAGTTATGAAAGTTAAACAAAACAAATCAAAAGAGTTTATTATCTTTTTAGTATATATAACTACTAATAGTATAGCTTTATCATTTACCTTAATCTATAAAAAGGAATCAAATAATCTATAAGATATATAGATTAATAAGATAGGCATAAAAGATTAAGCTTATTTTAAAGCCTTAAGCAATAAATAGTTATCTAATACTTTTGAACTTAATTGGCTTATAAAAGTCTTTCAATACTATATATATCTAAAAGCAAGCAAAGAATATCGGTTATTGATTGTAAATAGTCATTCTAGTTATATCAATATGGAATTTATATCAAAATACAACGAATTGAAGATCATATTATTGATTCTGCCTTCCTACTCTATATATCGATTACAACCATTCGATGTGGGCTACTTTCTTCTCCTTTCAACGAATTATGGTATAGAACTCAATAATTGGATATATAAAAGTAGAGGTTTAATTAGTATGTCGAATGTAACTTTTGGGCTATCTTTAAAGTAGTTTGGGCTCAATTTGCAACTTTCTATAATATATTATAATCCTTCGAAAAAGCAGG